CGCTAGAGTACGCCGGAGAAGTATGGGAAGGAAATAAGAAGGTAGTGAAAGAACTCGAGGCGGCGCAGATGAAAGCAGCGAAAATCATCCTAGGATGCTCTAAGCGCACATGTAATACAGCCGTGAGGGCAGAAATGGGAATTCAATCCCTACGGTCTGGAAGAGACGCTAGGAAGCTGACATGGCAGTATCACATGTGCGGGATGGAGGTTGCCGAGAGTAGTATGGGAGGCGAAGTGGGCAAACAAAAACAGGGTTAGACAAGCCACGGAATGGGTCAAGGTTGTAGAGGACGTATGGAAGGGGCTCGACATCGACGAAGATGAAACGCTGGAAACGGAGGGTCTACAGGGGTTCAAGGAGAAGATATCTGTTGCTTGTGCCGAGAGAGAAGAACAGAATCTGAGGAAAGAATCCAAGGATAAGGAGGGTCTAGAAGTGTACGGAATGTTGAAGGAAGGAATAGGGTTCAAGGACTACCTACATGGACCAATGGATGCAGGAACAAAGCTTAAGGTCAAATTCAGGACCGGGGACATCGGCCTTCGAGAACGTCGACGAAGACATAGGACGGTAGACGACGAAGACGACGAGTTCAAATGTGATTGCGGCTTCGAATGCGAAGACCGTGTTCACGAAGTCGCGGAATGTCCGTGGTACAAGAGGGAGAGGGAAGTGTACGTGAGTGGGCTGGGAAAAATATATGGAACGTACAGGGAGATGTTTGAGGCATGGAATAGAGAGGAAAGGACGGTAGCTGTAGTGGGGCATAGGAGGTGAGTTGAAAAGGCGGGAAGGGATATCGTTAGGATAGACAGACTAGGGAAGACATCTTTGAGCCACCTTTGGCAAAGTAGGAAGGACCGATTGGCTATCGGTGATCGGTCCTGTGGGAACAATACTCATTCCTCTCGAGGACGCGTGGTCAATGGTCTAACCGCTAAGACATGCAAAACATAAGAGTACGCCCCCCCCCCCCTCCCCCATTGTATCCTGTTCCGTGTTTGTTGACGGTCATGATGGTCAGAATGCCGACGTGGGTGACGTCACTCCGCGACGACGACCCGGATCACGGCGGGAGGACGGCAGACGCGGTGATGCCACCCCCGACAGTGGCAATCTCCCGGCCGAGAGCGGCAAGCCGACCGCAGCAGCAGCTGCGGAGGAGAGATCAGCAGCGGCGGGAGCGAGATCTGCCAGGTGACAAAGATCCCTCTGGTCGATGGTGTTATACTGTATTCGTGCGAAATGACGAGAAGCAATGTGAGGGTGAGTGCTTGGTAAGTTTCGGTGAGGCGATTGGTTATGGTAGAACATAGTGCCATCGGCCGTTGCAGAGGTAGCTGAGGACGAGGAGGAAGCAGTAGCGGCGGGAGCGTCAGCAGGGAGACCCGCCAGGCGAAAGTTCCTTGCATGCGGTATGCATACGAAAAAAACGTGTCGAGGAATGCTTCCGAAAGTCCGTTTGGGAGGAAGGGCGGGTGATTGGTTGAGAAGCTGCAAGCATCCGTATTCGCACGATTTTAGACCAACGGAAAGACGCTAATTGCTTGGTTGCCCTTTATGACTTTTACCTACATGTAGGCCGAGACCGATGCCAATATTATCGTTGTTGACCCAGCCCTCTCCTTCCTCATCTCAACCCCGCCATCACCGCCCACAATCGAGAACTTCAGGTCGAAACGCTTGCCATCCCCGCGGATTCTGCCGTGGCCGTCGCCCGGGCCCGCCCGCATGTCCGGGGATGCTCCCCTTCCATCCCCGGGTTCCCCACTCCCACGAAGGCGGTCGCTCTCAATGAACTCCGCCGTGTCGGAATCTTCGCAGGTGAGCTTGCGGGATCACCACGTTTTTGGTCGCTGGGACGATACAAGTAGCTGTTGTGCTCTCCGGCGGTACAGCTACGTGAACATTTTTTTCTTGCTTCTAGGGGACACGCAAAAGGATCATCGCCAGCAGCTCGCCAGGCATCCGTGGCACCTGTGTGCTGTGGACGCTTAAAGTCGCTAGGAACTGGCTCTTGTTTGTCCCGGGAAAGTGCTCCGCGAAGAGAAAGCCACCCGGCGAACCAATGGTAAAACCCGGCAAAGGCTGCCCCGTCTCCAGGTTTCCCACGAAGCGAAAAATATATACTTCAATGGTAGAGGTACGAGAGAAAAAATGGGCCGGAACAGCCTCGCCGGCATGCTCGTTTCAAGCATGTCTCCGGCTGTTAACAACTGTGCTTGAACCTCCTCACATTCCTACGACGTGCATTCAACTCTTTTCTTGTCGCTGTGCGCGGGTGCGCGCGTGCCTCGGCTTCCTCTGTTCCCCAGTTGTCTGATGACCAGCAGCAGTGGGCTCAAGCTTCTCGGGCGAGAGCGACGGCCGAGGTCCTCGCAGATGGCCTTGCCACGGCGGTTCTCCCGCACGTAAGCCGCCGCCGCCGCAGCGGTGGCGGTGGTGGCCGTGGTGCTAGCGGCGAAACCGGCGGGGTGTCTCCCTCTTCGGGGCATCGCGGGACCGTCCGGACGGTGTTGTGTAGTAGCAGTGAGAGAGGTGAGGATGGGAACTGACTACGCAAAGAAAGCAAGGTTATTAAGGATCAAGACCGGGGAGGGGGAAGGCAGACTCCAAGCCTAACTCAACCTCAATCTGACCAGTTCTACACTCTATCCAGTATGTTTGCTCACTTGGAAAAACTTGCGGAGACGAGTGCTGTGAGGATGTGCTACCGTGGAGCTACGACGTAAGAAAACAACCCACCACCATCACAGACAGACCCGGAGGTCATTCGTTAGGGGTGAATATGAGCCCCGAGGCCTAAAAGTTACAGCCAATAATTTAGAAGAAGAATTTTTGAACAAATAGTCTCCCTATGTACCACTTGCAGAGCTGACTGTGACGACCTTGTTGTGGCCGCTCTCCATGCCGAAGAAGAACTATTCAGCCTCTCGTTGTACCATAGGCAGAGTTGCTGTGACGACTATCTTGACTATCTTGTGGCCGTTCTCCATCATCCCACAGCCAACTGTCACTTGCACTCCCCCCCCCCCCCGCAACGGTTTTCCCTGAAAGGAGTGGCGGTCTTCGACAACGACAGCGGCGGCGGCAGCGGCAGCAGCCCCCGGCTGGTCTTGCCCAAGCGAACGTCCCTCGGCGCCACTGGTTCTTCAGGGTCCGGGTTTAACCTCGGCGTCGGCACCAGCACTACTAACAACAATAACGCCTTTTCGGGCGGGAGAGCGGGGACGCGCGAGGAGAGCGCTAGCCCCGAGCTCGTGGGGGTTACTAGAGAGCAGAGGAAGCGGGAGGGGAGCGGGGCCAGCGTCAACAGCTTGCGCTCGCCCAGCACGCCGTCTGGCCGGAGGGCCAGCGGGGGCCCGCCATCTAGGTGAGTGTTGATTGTGGTTATCTTTTTTTTCGGTTTCAACGCCTTTGGGTGGCTATGGCGGGAAGATGGTCGTTTGCTGGGTGGAGGTCCGGATAGCTTTTGATGTGACCACAACAGCAACTGCTGCAACAACAACAACATCAACAACAACAACATCAACAACAGCAGCAGCAGCAGCAGCAGCAGCAGCAGCAGCAACGGCTGCAACGGCTGCAACAACAACAACAACGACAACAACAACAACAGAAGCAATGTCACATCAATAGCAGTGACAACAACAATATCGACGATGCTCAGGTTATTGCCCGCACCAACGGCCAGCATCGTCTCGGAAGGGGGAGACGTTTCCACAGGCAGCGACAACAAGTCTGTCAAGGCCGACGTGTTGGCAGAAGAGCAGCCATCATCGATGGCGGCGGCACCATCCGGCGGCTCCGGTAACCTCGCCAAGAAGAAGGTGCGATCCATGTGTGTGTGTGCGGTACGGTGACGTATGTATGTGGGGTGCGTCGTCGTGTCAGTAGCTGCAAGCTGGTTGCGCTGCTGCTGCCACGACCCTCGTGCTAAGTTTGCGTAGTCTTTCGCCCGTCCATCCAAAACCGTCTTGCTACGCTTTCATACGTAGATTTATCGCTCCCATGTCTCCCTTGCATCGTACTCTCGTAGCGTGTCCGGCCATCCCAAACCGTATGCTACACGTACAATCGTAGATTTATCGGTCCCACATCTCCCTTGCACCCAACACGCACCTTTTTTGTGTGTAATTTGTGCACGGCCTACATGTATCGTGACCCTGTGAGGGCACACCACCTGCTTTTTTTGTTGTTTGCGTCTGGTTGTGATTTATCCCTTACTCTCGTCGATGGCTGTGTGTGTCCCTCACGGTTGCAACAAAACAAAAATGACAACTGCAGACGTTCATGGAAAAGTTCGGCGACATGCTCGAGGCTGCCGCGGAGACCGCCATACCCGCCGCCCCCGGCGGGGGGGGGGTAGGGGATGGCAGCC